CCAATCTGGGCATCAAGACAGGCTTCCCCAGGGCATGTCCAGGCGAGGCACCAGGGGGCTCGGGATGGACTGGAGACAGGAGCCATGAAGGGAAAGGTTCCCCTGTGGACCATGGAATTCCTCACTTAGGATTCCAATCCTGGGCCCTAGGGTTTCAGGCAATTAAACAGGGCTGGTGACAGGAGGAGGCAGGAGCCATTGAGGCACAAATGGGGAGGAGGCGGGTTTGACTGAGACCAGCTTATGAGGACAGCCCCGTGGGGACTGAGTTAGAAAGTGCTCTGAGGTTTGTGGTTGGGCTCATGGCTGCTGGGCATATCTTTGCTTTTCTTACTGTGGAATCTGGACTATGTCACTAAGACCACATCTTTCTTTTGGGTTGAAGGGGGGAGGTTGCTGGATGAGTTTAATTGGAGAGTCAGCAAGGAAGGCAGAGAGACTTCCCACAAGCTCTCTCTCCCCCTGCTACGGGGAGGGGGAGGTGGAACTGAGGAGGGGAAATGACTCAGGGGCTGAATGTCCCCACTCTCAAGAGTTGGCCATTTGAAAGCCTGAATCGGTGTCCCCGGGGGTTCAAAGTGCAGAGGAAACCACAGACAAAAATGGGCAAGGGGAATGCAGGAGCCAGAGCCTTCAAATATTCTGTTTGCCCACAGGCATCGGAAGATGCACTTGTATCTCTCCCTTCCGCCCCTCACCTGGTCTGGCATCAATATAACAATGAAAACGAGCAAACTAAAGCCACACACGACAGCATGGACACATCTCAGAAACATTACGTTGAATAAAAGAAGCAAGTCACAAAATAATACATACAGTGTGATTCCACTTACAGAACGTTCAAAGTCTGGCAGAATTAAACCAAATTGTGAAGAGATGCATCCACATAGGTAAATCCATTAAAAGAAGCTTGCAAAATATTATCACAGAAGTCAGAATAGATGGTACCTCCTCTGGGTGAAGACTGGGGAAATGGGTTTGCGTTCTGGGAGGGGCATGGGAAGAATGGCTGCTGGGGGCTTGACACCCCAAGTTTCTTACTTTGAGTGGGAGTCCCATCTTTGTTCAATTTACAGGAATCCTTTAAATTGTACATATATGTTTTATGTAGTATTCTGTATATATGATCTGTCTCATAATTTTAAAAATTAAAGGCATCTCATATCAACAGGGAGATACCCCAAATTAGAGTAATAGCCTCAGAGATAGATCTTCTCGATTTTATAGATGCAGAGACTGATGCCCAGAGAGGTTAGGAGCCTTACTCAAGGTCACAGAGCATGCTCTTAGTCAAACTGGGACTAGAACAAGACAATTCCTAACTCAGGGATCCTCCACCACCTCCATGTCTCTGGCAAGTCCTCTTCCTTAGGGGAAGGGAAGGGAGGGGCATAGCTTTTAAGCCTGGGAGTTCCCTTGTTTTGTGAAAAAGAAAAAGGACCAGTTGGTGAACTGATATAATAATAAAAAGCTGATATAAACACTGATGATTTTAAACACTTTTCAAATGGAATTTTAAAAGATTTAAATATGCCCCCCTGGAAAATGATAATGATGATTATGGTAATCATAATAATGATAACACCAGAAATCTCTGGCAAGTCTGTGATCTGGAATTAGATTCGTGCTCTATTTGATTGGCAGATGGTATCGGGCTGGGGCTGGCTTGGAGCAGGGCTGGGCTGGGAGAGGAAGGACAGGGAGTCAGGAAGTCTGCAATTTTATTGACTTCTCCACCTGGCCTAGGTGAGACCCTTAGCCCTGGGACAGCCAGGAAAGGAACCTCTGCTATCTCTCTGAGAGCTTTTTTGTTTTGTTTAGAGGTCAATTACTTCCCATTTGGGGAACTTGTGAACATTAAGAGGTGACTGGAGTGATGGGACCCAACGATGCAGATAAGAGGCTGATTGCTTACAGAGCGGCTCCCTGGTAAAAGCCCTGCCGAGGATAAGCCCTTGTCGGGAAGCGACACACAAAAGGGGGCAGCTTTCAGTGCAAAGGCAAGATTACACAGATGGAAGACAGGCAGCTGGGGGTGGGCTTGATGAGCTGGGACAGGGATTTGTTCTAAATTGATCTTGACAGGCTGAGAGTGGGGAGATGGGGGAGGAGAATTTTCCTTCACTCTCCTTTCCTTTAGGAAAGAAATCTTTGGTGTCATGTGAATCTCAAATGTCCTCGCTGTGCTCTGCAGAAAATGCCACATGGATGGCACATGGACAAAGTTTCTGTTATACAGATATTTAAGGCCAGCCCAATATGGATACCACAGCGATGTGGGCAGCATGACAAACAGTGTGGCAGGCAAATGGAACATCTAGGGGATCTTGGGTGTGCGTGTGAGCCGCACTCCTTCCTACCTCCCACACCCTTTCGGTCCACCCAGTGCAGTTTGCAAATTCCCAGAAGCTAGCTTGAATTGAATCTCACACTACTATAAAATACGGCTCTGTTTTTGGCATGTACGCATTTACTTTTCTCCATTGCAAATCCAAGAGCTTTCCTGGAGCCTCTCCCAGTAAAGTGTCATTCCCACGCTAATCACCAGGCTTAACCCCCACTACTCTATGCAGCCTTTTCTAAGCACCCAGCACACACCGGATTTTCTTTCTCTCTATAGAGAGAGCTTAATGCCTGTCCTATTTGACATGCAGCATATACCACCTTATATTTTTAGGTACCTTTCTCACGTTGGTGATTGCTATCCCAATTAGATAATAAATTCCTTAAGGGCAGCAGTCAGATCTTATTTTCTCTTGTGTCCCTTCCAGGAACGTTCAGTGATGACTGAGTTACTGGTGATTGAGCCTCTTTCTTCCCTAGTCACTTGGAGTCACTTGGAGCCACAACTGTCACTGATCTTCCTGTGCATCTCCCTGTGGTCACAAAGGTGTGGAGGGGGCATGGGAGTCACTCTCCCTCACCTGGGAGGCAAGGCCTATTCAGAATATCACAGGTCTGGCAACTTCTTCCCTTACTTTTCTATGTTAGAGGGAGGTGAGAGGGTGAAGGAAAGAACATTTATTAATTTCCTACTTCATGCCAACGACTTTGCCCATCCATTCTACAATGGCCTACATTTCTGGGGTAGGGATCTTACCCAAAAGATTTTTTTTTAAATTAACACATAGTATTTTAGAATCTGATATTAGAAAAATTGAATACAACTCATTTAAGAACTAAGGGCTAGACAGTTCATAACGCAGTGGCAACATTGGACTGAAACTTACCTGCCAGGAATCTAAGACCAGTGTCCAACTTCTCCTCTTGTAAGGAATAACTTCCAAAACCAAAGAATGGTAATACTGTATAACAATTCTCTCATGATGGAGATTTTAACTATAATCTCTATTTTTTTCTTAATATTGTTGACCAAGGAATACTTACTGAGATTTCCAAATTTAAAGTATACATACTCACATTTTATTCCCAGAGACACAGCACTAACTATAATTGAAAGACACTGTGAATTGTTTCTAAAAACACTTTTATTAGCAGTGAAAATTGAGAAATAAAAGGGAGAAGCAATGAAAACCAAAAGGAAAGGAAATGTAAAGAAATAGTAAGAAAAAAATGAACAATAACTTTTTTTTTTAAGTTTAAACTTTAAGGCATGTAAGCTATCAACAGTCAGGTATAGTTTACATAGACTCAAGCAGTCTCTGTTTCTCGCGCTAACAAAAACAACCAGGACATATTCAGAAATGAGAAAATTCAGGAGTACATTTTAATTAAATATGAGAATTTATTAAATAAGAGAATTTAACCTTTGATATGTGGGGGTGGGGCGAAGAACCAAAGTTTTCATTGTCTAAAAAATGTAATCCAAGAGGAAAAAAGACAGATTTTCCTACTAAATTTCCTGCTAAATTTGTCCTGCCAAAGACAAATTTTGTTTGATCCAATGTCTTTATTAATAAAATGAGTTTGTTTTCACTCTTCAATTTACATGACCTCAGACGTATTGGGGGTGGAGATGTCAAATTTCATAATTTTAGGAAGCCTAAATTTTACTTACCCATCTTTTTAGGACTTATGGCCACCTAGGGCCCTCCTTCCTTGATGTGGACTTTAGAAGCTGATGATAGAAAGAAAACCTAGAAAGAGGAAGAGGAGGGTGGGAGAAAAAAAGTTAGGAAACCTGCCTCCAGCGTTGAATGAGTTTTGTCTCCTTAGAACTTCTGGGCTTCATTTTTGTTTGAATTCCAAGTTGTTTAGCGTAACCGAGAGAATAACAGCTTACACACACCACACACGCACACACACACACACACACACAGAAACTCATTTAGCGTATTTATTCGAGATGGGGTGCTGTACATAGGAGAGACGATGCAGTGACAGTGAGCGGAGAACCGGAATGTCGAGGCTAAGTCCTGGAGAGCCGTCGTGCCCAGGAAAGAGCATCTCCAGATTGTAGAGTCCCCGGGAACGCGGGGGTTGGAGAGATGCTGAGACCCCATAGGAGGGGACTGGAGGCAATAGTCCCTCTTCGTGAACCTCGCGGTCCTCTCTTCTCTTCCCGGCTCTTGGTTCCGTTCCCGCCCTCTTCTACTCTCCTCTTTCTTCAAACCCCAGCAGTTGCCTTTACTCGGAGGATGGAGGCCCCGTAGACCTTCCATTCACCCCCTAGTGCCACGGGGCTGCTGCATACAAATTGAAGAGCCTCTTGGGTCCCTGGGGTTGAGGCCCCAAAAGCCACCTGCCTCAGTACTGCTGCGACATCCACAACTGCCAGCAGCCGCCCTTGGTTTTCTTTCCTCCCTGTGCCGCTGCGTGGGCGGCTGGCAGACGTCCCCTGTTACATCTCCTGGGGGAAGCACGTCCCCAGGGCCTTCAGCTGGATGCTGCAGTTCGCAGTCCCAGAGATGGCTCCGGGAGAAGTGCAGTCGGGTCGCCGCTTCCCTCCACCGCGCAGCCCCTCATCCTGGCAGCGACCCGCAGGCAGAGGGGAGGGACCGAGCACCTGGCCCCGGCGGGCGTAGCAGAGCCGAGGTGCCTCACCAGGCCCTGACGCCCTGCAGCGTGGCGGCCAGGTGGCCCTGTGGGGTGGCGTTGGGGCCGCCGGGGCCAAGGCCCGCACTGGCCAGTGGTGTGGGTGCCGCGGGGCCCGAGGGCGCGCTGGCGTAGCCGCCGCCGTAGCCTGCGCCGTAGGGGGCACCGGTGTAGCCGCCGCAGCAGGAATAGGGCGATGCGGGGGCGCTGTAGGGGCCGGGGAAGGCGGACGCGCTGGGGCCCAGGCAGGGCTTGCCGTCGCGCACCAGCACGGGCACCGCCACCCGGCGCGGCGCTAGAGGGTGGCCGGCCAGTTCCAGCGACTTGTCCTGGCGCTGCCTCTTGCACTTGTAGCGCCGGTTCTGGAACCAGATCTTGACCTGCGTGGACGTGAGCTGCAGCGCGCTGGCCAGGTGCTCGCGCTCGGGTGCCGACAGGTACCGCTGCTGCTTGAAGCGCCGCTCCAGGGCCAGCACCTGCGCCTGCGAGAAGAGCACGCGCGGCTTCCGCCGCTGCCGCGCCTTGGGCTGCTCCGGGCCGCCACCGCGCACGCCGTCGCCGCTGTCGCCAACACCGCGCTCCGGCACCCTGGTCCTGCCGCCGAGGGGCGAGGCCGCGCTCAGGCCAAGCTCTAGAAGCACAGGAAGGGACACCATCAGCGCCCAGCCTAAGGCTCACCTCAGCGATGCTTACATTGTTTGCAAGAACCAGCCTCTCCCTGGCAGCCTTCACTCCGCACCCCCTTCTCCCGCCTGCTACCCCTCAGCTCCCTCCAAGCCTGTCTGAGTGTTTCTTTTCTCCAAGCTCATTGCTTTTGTACCTGCTGAACATAAATAAATTCTGACACTCTGTACACGTCATTTTCCCCAAAAGTAGACTCTTGATCAAGAGTCTAAGGCAGCTCCATTTTCTTCTTAGAGTGCGTGTGTATGGTGGTTCAGTTTGGGGGAAAGTTTGCCGTGAGCATCAGGTGTGAGTGTGTAGGCCTAGCCGATTGGGGTGGACTTTGGGCCATCCTTGGAAGTAAAGGGGGGAAGAGGAGGAGGAGAAAGAGGAAGAAGAGAAGCTGGGGTCTCAAGAAAGCTGGAACTCAGTGACATGCTCTCCGAAGGCTTCTCTTTGCCTCCTGATCCGTGACAGCCCCAAGGGCATCTCATGGAACTGGTCTCCAAGTCCAGGAGGGGGAATCTTGAGTGTCTCCTACCTTCACTCAACTTTTGCACACACCCTTGTCTTTGCCGCCATCAATACTCCGCCAGCACCAGCGTCCCAGCTTTGTAATCCGAATTAACAAAATTTGATAAAAACAAAATATTTCCTGCCTCCTGACTCTTGGCTTGGAAACCGAGAGATGTATGAAGTTGACGTCCGTACTGGCTTTTTAAAAATCACTTTCCCCATCCTTGGGGGTCTTTCTGGCAGGCCGAGGGTGCTGGCTTCACCCTGAAGTCCTCTTTCCCCCAGGCGACTCCCGACTGCAGATGCCAACATGTAGCATTTTCTTCCCTTCTCAGCTCTCTAGAGTCCCAGCTTAAGCTCTGTTTTACCCCAAGGGTGGGTAGAGAGGAAACGCTGAACTTTTAGGGAAACTCGCCCCAGGAGAAAACCAGGAGCGTGGAGGGGCTGCCACCGAGGTGGGGCAGGACACTCCTAATTAGAGTGGGTGCGCACTGGAACCCGACTTCTAATCCCCAGCGATGCTGGCACAGTCTCCGAGGGGGTGCAGCTGCTTGGTATTTAAAATTTGAGGAAAGAAAAACTTCCTTCAAACATGCCTACGCTCAGAGAAACTAAGGCCATCTCCCCTCCAAAAGAGGAAAAATACTCACTAGGGCTTGTTTTCTTAGCACCGTCAAAAGATAACCCACCTTCCGCGACCGGGTGGCTCAAGCAGGACCATGTTTGAAAGTCGCTGACCACGAGGGGCGAAGGACTGCACAGCACCCCGCACGCGTGCCAGCACCCTATGCCCTCCAGGTCACAATCGGAGATCCTCAGCCCAGCGTCCTTGAAGGCAAGGTATGTCGGCTGGGGACCAATGAAGTGCTTGAAGCCCACCAAGAAGGTCCCTTCCCCCAGCAGAGTGCCACTGAGGCCCTGGGCTCAGTTCCTGGAGCCGGGCTCTGTCCCTCTTCGGCTTCCAGAAGCGGTGGAAGAGACACCGCCCCCGGGGCTTCGTTTCCAGCAGCGGAGGGAAGTGCTGCGCCAGCCTTAGGCTGAGAGGCTGCAGTGGTGGTCCAAGGAGCCGGACCCTTTGTCAGCAAATCCAAAATGTTTGCCGAGTTGGCCGAGCAGCCATGAGGGACTTTAGTGTTTAGAGTCGGCTACAGAAAACCCACCAACTTCTTTTGAACACAGCAAAGTTCGTGCTCTCCAGGCTTCTGGAGTTAGTGAATAACCAGCCTGCAAGTGAGCGAATAACTCCGATCTGGCCTCTATTTTATTTGGTTAGTTTGCACCTGGCACGGAGGTACCGTGGCGCAGCTTGGCAGAGGAGGCCTGCCTTGCCCTAGGAATGCCCACCAGGTGCGGAGCTTTGGCGAGAGGAAGGTGGCTTTTTCATTCCTCAGAATATCCAGCCTTTCTTGCCGAAGCCTCCCTAGGTTCGCGGAGCAGACGCAGCACAACTCCCCGCCAGCCCCTTCCCGTCCTGGGGGCTGGACGCAGGTGCTGGGGCTTTGGAGACCAGGCGCCAGGGCGCGGCCGGAGCCGCCTCCCAGGGCAGCGACAACCCGGGCTGCCTTTAACACGCTCCCGGACGCGAGAATCTGGCGCCAGCACCCGCAGGGCCTTCCACTTCTGGGGACTCAAAAGCACCCCGTCCCCATCTCCCGTGTTGCAGACGAGGAACCCGTGCGGAGGGACCGGGAGCTGGCCAGGGCTCTCAGACAGCCCTGGGGAAGGGCCCGGCCACGAGGGACCGCAGGCCGAGGAGGGCTCGCTGCTTTGGTGGCTCCTCTCTTAGATGGTTGAGAGTAGGGAGAGACTGGGAGATGGCCGGGAAGGGCGTTGGTGGTGGAGCACAGCGAAGACACTTCCGTGGTGGAGATACGGAGCTGGAGGTTCGGGGAACCGGGGCGACGCTTGTGTGGGAATGAGAGCGGCGGGGGCGGGCAGAGCGAACCCTAAGATTCAGGACCGCATTTTCCTTCGGGGCGCGGGAAGCACACCGGCTGTCGGAAGGGGGTGGGAGTGGGGGCTCAGAGGCCTGTCTTTTGGACTCCTCAAATGAAGGAAATGGGGAGAGGACCTGGGACCCCCGGACACTGGGAGATGCGTTTTCCCTCACGCCCCTCGATATCCCCCGGTAGAAGGCAAGACCTGAGCGCTTACTCACGTGGCTCCCCCACCCTTTCCGCATCCATCTCCACCACCGCCTCACAGGAACCCCCGCGTGGCTCCGATCGGTCTTGTCTTCCGTGGCCACCGGCGTTGTGAATCTCTGACCCTCGCGGCTCCGAGTCCATTCGCAGGTACGGAGAGTTTTCCGGGCTCCTCCGCACCCCACGGTGTGGCGAAGCCGCGGGGCCGCTCTGCTCGCGTTTCAGCCGCAGGATGTCCTTGACGGAGAAGGGGGTGGAGGTGACCCGACCCAGCAGCATCTCGAAGGTGGAGGGGGCGGGGCCGAGGAGTTCCCGGTCCCCGCCGGGCGCTGCGCCCCGAACTTCCCCGCTTGTCGCCGCAGGCCCCGCAGACAGACCCAAGCTCTGGGACAGACACCCAGCATCCCGAACCACGCCTTCCTCTGGGCCATCCGGGCGGGCCGGGGGACCAGGGCCCGGTGACGAGACTGCCGCGCCCCATTGGTTCCCGCAGAAACCACGTGCTAACCCTGAACCTTCTTCCCCAAACGCTTTCTTCCCGCGCCCTCTCCATCCCCAACCTCCTCCCCTTCCCACCCTCCTGGGAGGTTTGGTTCGTATTGACGGTTCTCAAAAGCAAAGAAAACGTGGCAAGATGGTGCTGCGCGCGGCGCGTACCCGCGTCAATACGGTACAAGTGGGAGCTTCTGAGGTCAAACCAGGGTCCGCAGGGTTCCTCTCCCACCCCACGCCCCAACCGGACCAGAAGACTTGCAGGGCTGGGGGTGGAGTCCCTGCTGTGCAATCCGAGCCCGTCCATCCGGCCCGATCTTAGCTCTTCTACTCCTTACAGCGCAGGGGTTGCGGGGAGAAACCGAGGTATAGCTGGGCACTCGCAGGATGGTCTTAGTGCGCGCAGAGGCCGGAAAACTGAGGGGAAGCGCATCTCGACCCGCCAGGGCCTGTATTGAGGTGGAAATGTCACACTTTGCGCAGAGTCCAGGTCTGCGGAGCCCAAATTCGCCAATTCCCAGGAGCAGAGTCTCAGCTCTGGGAGCGAAGAATGGGCTCGGGGCTATATTTGGGGGCGGGGGTGGGGGTGGGGGAGGTGTTTGGCCTCTTCTCTTCTTCCCAGAAGCTGATTGCCCGGAGCGAGTGTGCATGCAGTAGATCTCCAGAAAAGCAGTTCGGTCACAGCTGGCACCGTACCAAGTAAGGGGTGGCAGTGTTGCTTTGTGGTGAGGAACATAAAGTCAGCAGATCCAACCCTTGCTCCGGAACATAACTGCGGGCTTTGGGGCTCACTAAGCTTCACATGCCCATCAGAGGATGATTGCGAGATTTAAGTGAAATAATGTGTATGAAACTATCAATGAATGTCCACTGCTGGTATTACTCAGCCTACATTGATTAAGAAAGCATGACTTGGTGTCATCAGTCCCAGCACAGAATCGAAGGAGTTTTAATTTTTTTTTAATCAAAACGCGATCTTACTAGAGTTCTTTTAGGGACTTCAGATCAAATGTTTCTTAAACATTCTTAATGGGAATTCAGTGCTACAACAGCTTTTTGGATGTTATTTCCTAAAATCCAGTTAAACTGAATTCATCTCCGCCCTCCCCCAGACTAGTGGGCAAAAAGTTGCCTGCAAAAACTCATGCAAAGTTTCAGCAAAATTGATCATTCAGCCACCAAGTAATTATTTCTTATGCATGGTATCGTTTAATCTTTACATCAAAGCTATACCCTGAATATTCCCTGCTTCTTTTTTCAGTGAGGGGTCCAGATCAGAGAGGTTAAGCAACTTCTGAAATGGTCCAGCGCTCATTAATAGGAGAGCACACCCAGACTAGCATCTGGCAAAACAACAAAACGTTCTCTTTCTTTTTTTTTTGAAATAGACATCCTTTGCCCTCAGAGATCTCAAAATCTTGTGATAACCCATACTTTCTTTAAATTTTATTTATTTTTCTGATTATAAAAGTCATCATGCACACCATGGAAAAAATGGAGAAAAGTTAAAAATAAAATGTAACATTTATCTAGAGATAATATTTTAGTGCCCTTCCTTCTCTGTTTTTGCATATATGCACTCACAGGGCATATGCTGGTTGGCATACATTTAAATTTACATCATAAGCATGTCCAGTACTTTGAGTTTTTTTTAAAACAAATATAATTTTAAAAAGCAATCTAATATTCCATGTTATAGATGGGCCATAGCAGATGGTCTGTGCTTTTAGATAATATCTAATTTTTTCATCACTGTGAAGGCGGCTTTATTTTTATGCCTTTAATCTTTGTGCCTGCATCCTTGTCAGTATTTTAGATTATTTCCTCAGGATACATATGTAGAAGAAACATTAATGAATCAAATATTTGAATGTTCATAAAACATACCATCCCACAACTTGCCAGAAAACCAGTATTATTGCATCCTTTCCCCAGAAGGGAATTCTGTGGGTGGACAATCGGGCTCTAGCAAGTGGTAGAAGAAAGGACGTCTTGATCGGACCTGGAGTCCAAAGCCCTGAGTTCAAATCCTAGCCTTTCTTGGTTTGCCGCGAGGATCAAACGAGATTTTTGGACGGGGAAAATGCCTCCTAGCCCGTCATGAGCGTTGCAAACAGGAGACCTTGTTATGGAACCGGCTGCCTGGGCTCAGGGTCAGGCGCATCCTGTGCAAACCTGGGGAGCGGTGTCCCTATCACACTCGCCCAACCCCTGCAGAAAGAGAGACTGTCCTTGTTCGCACAGCGCCCGGTGTTCTGGTCTCGGTTGTTTTGGGTCTCACCATCTCCGAGTCACCTCTCGGAGGAGCCTGGAGTCCCTTCCTCCTCCCTCTCCGGCACCAGGGAGCATTGAGAGCCATGCACCGGACAGTGGAACCAATAACTATAACTCTCATCTAGCCCATTCCGGGTCAGTTGGGGGCGCATTAACTGCTGGCCCGCAGCATGAGGCAGGCGGGGCACGAGCGACCTGGCCATCTGCCCAAGCGCCAGGAGACAGGGAGGAGCGAGGAGTAAGCAAAGCCCAGGTGTCCTGAGACTCTTAGGCAGGGCTGGGGCAGCCCCAATATTGTGGTGTGGGGAGGGGTGTGTGTGTGTGTGTCTCTCTTGCTCGTGAGTGGAGACATCGTCACCTCTGTTCTTATAATGAGATGGAGCCGATATGCTCCACCCAGCTCTGGGGATATTGAGGAAATGAGGGGTCAGGCCTTTTATCCAAACTTGCATTCTTGCACAGAAGACAGACTTCTAAATATTTCCCATGCAATGTGATAGCTTGTACAATCCTATGGCATTTGTATATGGTATTTATTAAACTTCTTCTCATCCGTGATTAACAAAAGTCCTCATCTATTTTTTTCAAACTGTCTTCAAATGAAGGGATTCTGCCTTTAAAGTGCTATATACAACAGACAGTTATGGGCACTTAGTCTCGCGCTTAGCAGCTCCCTGGGCTTACAGGAAATCAACCATCCTTAACTGGAGTGCAGGATTCCTATTAGACTAGAATAGACTAGACTTGGACTCTGGGTCTGTTGTCACAGCTGTGTCCCCAGGACCTAGACTAGTAACTGGCATGTAGTACGTCTTCAACAAATATTTGTTGGAGAAAGGTATTTGCCTTGTTTGGTTGGGAATAGTCCCCAGGATATTTTCTGAGTGTCTAGTACATAAGGAAAAGGTAATCATATAATCTGTCCTACCCACTGGGACACTTGTAGGAGGAAAGGCAACACTTTTAGGAGGATGCCAGGCATAAACCAAAACAGTCCCAGGCAAACCAGAACATCTGGTTACCTTAAATAGAAGGCACAAAGATAAATAGCACACATGGGTAAATAGCACACACTCCTCCAGGAGTATCTAGTTCAGTGGGACGGGAGGGAGTGGTAGGATGGAGGTGTGGGTGGGGGGGTGCGTGGCGGGTGGGAGGGAAGACATCTGAACTTTTATTGTAGCATGTCACCCACACACTTTAATCTGCTGCACTGGCATTAATGTGCCTAATTTCACCCACTTGTTGAAGGATAGCATTTTTATGTATAATGATAATTTTATCATCAAAATCTATAATGTGAATCTAGTTATCACATTTAAGAGCCGGTTGACCACTGGTGCATCCTTTTTCTGCTGCCACAAGGCAGGTACACCTGCCGTTGCTCACACACCTGAAGCTGCCTCCCTAGCCCAGGCCCCTCCCCAGAAGACGGGCTGCTCCCAGCACCCATTCATTCCTGCAGATTCTCTTTTGCAATTTGCTTTTTTCGCTTTAAAGGAGCATACTCTGGAAATCACGCCACATTGGTTCAAAGAGATAGTCCTTATTCTTGTCTACTGTTGCCTAGTGTTCCATTGCATGACTGTACCATGGTTTATTCAACCACTGCCACATGAATGAGCATTTAGATTTTCCCAGTATTTTACAATAGCAAACAATAATGGGAGTGTGTTTTTGTGTTGTTAGACGTGTATCTTCAGAGTATATTCTTAGAAGTGGAACTGTGGGTCAAAAGTAAATGCGTATATAATTTTTTTAGGTGTTGTCCCCTCCAGAATGGTTGTACAGTTTGCATTCCACCAGCATTATATGGGAACGTTTGCCTCCCAGGCAACCTGGACAACACAGTGCGTGACCATGTCTCTTAATTTTCACCAATCTAATAGATGAGAATCAGTATCTCAGTGTTGTTTTTAATTTGCATTTCTCTAATTATGAATGAGGTGGAACATCTTTTTGTATGTTTAAGGCATATATACATATGTGTAAGTATCTATACAAATACATGTATAATATACATATAAATTAACAGAAATATATACACATAAATACACTAATGTAAATTGTCTCTTTTTACCATTTTTCAATCAATTTTTAAGTTTTCTCTGTATCAGTGATTTTGGTTATGTGTGCTATATGTTTATACATATACATTCTTCCTGTTTGCTGGTTGTTTTTTGACTTCTTTTATAGTGCTTTTTGCCATGCATTTTTTTATATAGTCACTTGTATTTTTCTTTTCTTCTGTTGCCTCCAGATTTGAGTCAAAAGAAACCTTTCTTACACAGAAGTTAAAAAGAAATTGACCCATATTTTCTTCTAGTATTTGTATGGTTTCTTTGTTTCCATTCGAGTGCATTCCAGTGTATGGTGTGAGTTGAGGATCTAATAATTATCTTTTTCCAAATGGCTATGCTGGGGCCATTTTATCGGCTTGTCCACAGTCACTTTCAGAGATGCTCTCAGCGAACCTCTGAAAATCAGTGCAAATTTCTCCGGGTTAGGGGAGG